GTTTTTCCGGCTTCTTAGACCAACATCTATTTCTTCGTTACCCCCTCAGACCCACTCAGGGGTTGTTGCCAGGGTTTGCACAAACCGCTTCGTTGTCCAGAAGTAAGAACAATAATACCCTGTAAATTTCAGACCTCTAGCTCACGTCATTCTTGGGCAACGGACAGACGGACAGACAGACACAAGCGCAATGGCATAAGCCCGCTTATATAGCTTTTAAGCAAAAGAGCGGGCCAAAACACATGCAAGTACTAATTATTGTTCTCAAGGGCCTCAGTCAGAGCTTGGGACCGAACTCAAATAGAAACATCGACACCTTATACTAAAGCGCACGCAATTCCTACGCGCGTTTCAAAACGCACACAGTTCAACCGCGCGTTTCGGAACTCACGCAGTTGTTACGAACTCTACGCAAAACACGCGTGGTTCGAGGTCAACGCGCGCGCCGTGTCGCACGGTCAATCCACAGCGCAGCGGTTTAACAAACTACGTGGGTTTCAAGCGAGAGGGCCACCAGTTCCATTTAGGATGTACACACAGGATTACGTGATTACAAGGATAACACGTAAATTTTGATGGATTACACATGAATTTTGTTGAATTTCTGGCTCCAAAACCATTAAATTTGGACAATAAGGTAAAATTTACTGATACTGGTTAACAATTTGGTCAAGTATTACACGGATTACATAAGGATTACATAGCGATTACACCCTTATTTGTCCACAGGATTACGCGAGTGGTGGCCCCCTCGGTTTCGAGAGCGCGGCGGTGAACTGCGTCAGTTCTGAAACGCGCGTATAAATTGCGTGCGTTTTAGTCTAAAGTGTCGACTTTTTTGCCAATCTTTTTGTGGATTATGAAATTATGGACCTTTGACAATACGGAGCAATTTTCGGCACGTCTCTAGCACCAATTTTTAAAATATCGACCACCACTTTCGCTTTTTTCGGAACTGCCCGCATATGTATGATTTGTACCTGCTATATGTGTGATGTGTAGAAGATAAATGAATTACATGCACCAGGGTCCATTCCGCGTCATACCAGGCCACGCAGAGCACTGTCCAAAGCACCTGTTTGGAAAGAAAGGTGAAATCGGTTGGTGGAATTTCGCATTTCTGCGGGATAGACAAGATACCAACCTGTTCTATGTTCTCGGAAACTTTACGACTCTCTACTGGTGGGGCGATCATCTGCATGTAAGTTTGCAGAATAATACCTTATTGCCAAAAAGGAGAAGTAGTTAACATTTATAGGCCTAGCCCAGCAACAGCTGCTCCACACTCTTCTCCAGCAGCGAAGTTGGTAAATAACACTTAAACCATATATTTTGGTTGGGCATTGTTGGGCATTGCAGTGTTACATTCCTCTTTACCAAAATGTGATAACATTACGACTGCAAGACGTGCCGGAAAAAGAGGTATAACAGGCAGCTGCGCGGAGAACTCGAGTGACGACAACGCCTGGCTATTTAGGTAGGGAGTTACCAGATATCTCCACGCAGCTGCTAGTTACGCCTTTTCTCTGGTTGGCTGAGTGATTAGCGAAGCCCATTACTCCACTGACCGAAAAAGTTTCATTCTGTTTGTGTGTTTGTTTGTTTGTTTGTCTGTATGCACGATAACTCGAGAAGGAATTAAGATAGCGACCTGGGATTTTCAGTGTCGTTTTGTGTCATCATAAAAAGACAGATCGAGTTCGAAGATGAGCACTCTGGCTCAAAAATTGACTTTTTAAAAAATCAATAACCACAGGTAACAAAATTATTTTTTTTATTTTTATTTTTTTTGCCTCCTAACGTTTAACTCGTGAAAGTAGAGCCCTCTGGGCGAAAATTTCGTCCGTTTTGCTCTATCTTGTACCGTTTAGGTGCTAGGGGGCATTTCTTGACAGAAATGAGGTGAAAATGATGGAATGGTCGATTCAATCGTTTAAGAGACTTCATTTTGAAAAATTGTGTTTACACTCCTATTACCCCGTCTCGGGTGTCGGCGCTGCAGGCCTAGCCATATGTGCACCAGGCGCGTCGCAGCGTAACAGTGTTTCGTGAGATATCGCGAAGCCTGTTACGCGAGACGTGGTCTGGCGTACGTATAGCTAGTATCATTTCGAAACGAACAAGAATATCATTGGCCATTTCCAACCCATACGCCATCGAGGATTTGAGCTGGCTGCTGTTCTTCTACCGCTCGGTGCACTTAGTGGATATGGGTTAAGATTTCTTCTATAGACGCCAGTTTCATGCGTCGTGAGATGCCAACATTCCGGATCTTATGACACCAAAAGATTGTCTTCCTTGAACGCCATCCAGTTTTCATTGAGCTTGCATCCATCATTGCCATTTCGAAATGGCTAGACGTTATGAGTTGAAATTCTACACTAGGTCGCGTTCAAGCCAACCATCGAGGATTTCAGCACCTTAATCTAAAACGCACACAGTCAAGCCGAGTTGCTGAACACTCAGGCAGTCGAGTGACGCGTTTCGCGATGCGCCAGCAGTTTAGACTCGTGCGTCAATAATATGCATTACCTATCCCTCAGCGGCGGAAAACTTACGCGGGTCCTCAAATGCGCGTCTAAACTACATGGCTCTTGAAACGTACCGCTTGACTGCGGCTGATTTCAACTCTCTGTCAAAAGGGTAGGTGAGACCATCATGCGATAATCTAGCCGGGGTAAGTTATCGCGCGATTCCTTGGGGTAAAGGGTAGCCTGATCGCCCACACTTGTCAGCAGTGACCACTAGGCTACAGCGATCACTGAAGACGATCGGCGCAGGCCAGTGCCACTAAACCTAAAGACTTGCTCGGTAGTCGGTAGCCCATCCCACCCCAAAAAAGATTTCGAGGTACGGAGCCTAAATGGTAGTTCTGACCTATAAGAGACCGTGTGCAAAGTCCGGGGCCTGTGCGACAACGTTCACGCGGATCGCATTGCAATTTTCGTCGTGGCCCAACTTTGGCGTCAAACAGGTAGACAACCTTGTAGGCGCTGCACTGCGCGCACGTTGGGAGCGGGGCGAACGAGAGTCCGAAATACAGGCGAAATAAAGGCGAAATAAAGAGAAATAGACCCGAAAAAGACGCAAAATAGTCGGTAAAATGGTCGCAAAATACCTCTGAAATACTCCGAAATACCGCGAAATACCCTGAAATAATCCAAAATGGACGAGAAATGACCGAAATGGCAAGAGAAATGACCGAAATGGCAGAAGAAATACCACGAAATAGCCCGTACGCTACGAACCCAAGTGACTTCCCCCTCGGGCTGAAAGTGTTACCCTATGGGCCCTACTATGTATCAGATGTGAAGGATCCGAGCTCCGGACACACGGGGCGTGTGCCCGACGTCACTCGCCAGTTACAGAGTATAATGCTGACGTAGCCCTAACTTTTTATTGCATGAAAACCGAGGACACACTGAGACCTTTCAAAATCAGTGATGTCTGCGGGGTAGCTGTTACGCGTTCACAAGAAAAAGTTTGAAAAACAGGTATTTGCGCCTCCTGTGGTGACGTCACTTAGCCTGCCCGCATCACACGCCTGTAGTGCACAGTAGCCTAGTACACGGGCGTTTTGGACTTTTTTTGCCTTTCCCATTTACCGCCTCACCGATACCCCGCAGACATTACTGATTCTGAAAGGTCTCAGTGTGTCCTCGGTTTTCATGCAATAAAAAGTTAGGGCTACGTTGTAAACGTTGTCGCATAGGCCCTGGACTTAGCAAAGGGTCCCTCTTAGGTGAAATCTGCCATTTAGGCCCCGTTTCGAAATCCACGATTTCGACCCATGAAATGGAATGGGCTATTGCTCGGCAGCCGAGGCCATCATCGCACGGCAATGTCTCGATTCGATGGCTCTGCGTCGTCTCTAGATGGAACCGCAAACGACACCTGACTCAGAGGCTTCGCACCGAATATCGTAAGAATACTCCACGAAATGACTCATCTACCAAAGTTTGCACAGTTGTTCTGGGGTCCATCATGAACGATTTTAGGGCCAGAGGCATTTGATTATCCGACCGTGCAGACACCTGCTACGGCCAATTTTAGTCAGAAATTTGTCTAAGTTTTTGACTGATTGGCGACTCATGGTCTGATTTTGATCATCTCAGGGTTGTTTCCGACTAAGCGAGATGCGCTGAACACGATGGCGCTTTTGGATTTTTGATATCTCAAATGGTTTGGGATATATTCAAATTTGACTGACAAATTTTAGTTTTCGGAAAAGGTCCAACTTCCATTTTTTGCATTTTCAAACCATTTCTGACCAACATTTTGACAAAAGACCTTCTATAAACGCTGTAGCTCTATGTCTTAGGAACAAAATGCACTAAACCGGAAGTCTGTAGCTCGAATACTTTTGCCGATACGGAGGTTTGAAGAGGCGCCGCGCGCCACGGCCCGCCTCGCCTACCACATACTTGTTAAGGGGCGGATAGGCAACCGGCTCCACACGGGGGGAAACGCTGAAAACGGGGAGTTTTTTGCGGTTTCTTTCTATCTTTCTATAGTTTCGCGCATAGTTGGTTTAAGGTGAGGTGTGGGTCAAAAACTGTCAGAAATCGAAATTATTTTTTGTCCCTTAAAAGACGCACTAACCTCCCCTCTTTAAAATGGTATATTATTTGTTCAAGAATTCATAACCGTTCAAAAGTTACAGCCAGTTTACTAAATTAAAGCAATGCCTAAAAATGAACATTTTCTCAAGATTTTACTATTAATGCCAACAAAAATGGCTTCTGAAAGCAGCTGCCGCATAGTAATAGATGCTCCCTGTCTTAAAAAGCTACAGGAAGCTGCGCAATCAAGTAGTGTGTAGAAGAACTGCATTACGACAAAATTCCTGCTAAGCCATTTTACTCTGAACCAAGTTTTTCACTTTCAGAAAATCTCTTGCGCAACAGTTTTGGAGTAAGCAATCTCGTACTGAAGGGTTACGTACTTTCAAGTGTTGGCTACAACGTAACAGAGAGCTTTTCTTCAATTAGGCGCTTATTATTTTTATAATCCCTAGAAACGAACGAAATATTTCAGTTTTTGAAAACTGCAACAGTAAATTGTCTTTAATTTTTCAAACGTGATAGTTATTGAAAATATCTCTCTGTTACATTGTATTATTGTGGAAAAGGCAGCTAAAACACCTAGTGTGACATGTTTATCGCCTCAAGCGTTGCGCGCCTGATTTTTTGAAATACAGCTAAAATTAGCTGTAAACCTGCCCTTTTCCCAAACGGCCTGAAAGATTCTAACGAGACGTGGTGTGAAGACGTTGCAACCTTAGCCCATCATAAGCTAGGAATATGCACTCTCAACTAAACCTCCTTCCAGTAGATGCGATTTTCACCCACACCTCACCTTAACCAGTGATCAGAAGAGGCGGTTTGGGGTTGGGTGCTCGTTTATGCGTCGGAATCAGAAGATATTTCATCGGACTCCTGGTTCCGCTCTGCTTCCTTGCCAACCCGCCTAGGCTCTGGCTGCTCTCCTATCGAACTGATAAACGAAGTGATTTAACAATGGGACAAGTTAATTGAAAATTAAATTATGTATATTTCACTTATTTTTACCTACATTTTGTTGGAGCATGGAATGCCTTGGCATGTTTTGCAGAGTGGAAAGCAAGGCATGTCTGTTTTTCTGCAACCACACTATTTCCCGCAGTCCGTTTTGCACCCGCAGCCACGCATTTCGGGACAAGATTCCCAGATAGGTGGCCGCGTGGTCCAACGGGGCACCCAGAGGCCACCCTCTAAATTTCAACCCCAGCTGGAGGGCGAGGGCAAAGCAGGTGCTGCCTGAAGAGCCTGGCACCATACAATTCCAGCCTGGTATACTGCTCTAAGTGTGTGCTGCGCTAGAGCGTCGGCAGTCGGAGGCAGATTTACAGCTATCCCTTTTCTTTTTGGAAAGAGTGTCCGACGATTTTCAGCTAATGAGAGGCTGGTGTCGCCTCAGAACTGTTCAAGCCTCTTCATGCAGCCTGCTGAAATAGACTGAACAGGGTGTGAAATTTCTAAAAACGCCTTTGTTGCTTGTGGTGAGTGCGTCCAGGCAGTCCAGCAAGACCTTTTCCCCTTTTATGCGGATGCGGTATCACAGCCTGTAAAAGCGTGGTAGAGCGGTAGCCTTTTCCTTTCCCAGGGGGAGAGCGATAGTATGTGCTGCTACCAATCGGCAGTGTGGGCCCCTGCCAAACTCCACCCACAGCTCGGACAAGCCGGCCTCCTGTAGCTGCCAGTAGAAGGAAACAGAGAGCACAACGACATCAGAGTCTTCGCTCCGTGTTTCGCCATATCCAGAGCGTGGAGAAGCAGGCGGCCGTCTGGCTCATCCTGCTGGGTGCAGGTCACTCCGTCGAGTTGTGATGGAGCGTCCGCCGAGGCCATGATGGTGTCCCCTATGTTAACTACACAGGGCAGCTTACTGCTAGCAAGCGCACTGCAAGCTAAGAAGCGAAACAGTTAAGTCTTGTTTGCAGAATTTTTCATGAAAGCTTGCCAGTTGTTAGGCAGTAGAGTAGCGGACTGGACTTGGTGCGGTGCCACCGTTGTCCGTTGTTTTGGTGCCCGCGTTGCCCTTGTTCCGTCCTTGATACGCAGCCGAGGGGTGGATAACTCCCCTGCCAAGTGTACACCCCTCATTCTGACCAATTCAAACTAATTCAGACCAATTCAACTTAATTCAAACGAATTCAAAACTAATTCAACTAATTCAGTCCAATTCAAGACAATTTATATTCAATTTAAGTCAATTCAAGCCAATTCAAGCCAATTCAGGAGTTATCCACCCCTCGTACGCAGATCATTGCAGGTGTCGAACACCAGGTCAGCACGCCGAGCACCGGTCCTCTCGACGTCCATGACGTATGGCAAAAGTTCTTCGCACCAATACCCTTTGAACGACTTAGATTGTCGGGCCGCTTGATGTAGACCAGTGCTGCTACATCGTACACGATGCCGTCACAACATTTCGGGAGGCTGGGCATCTTAACTTCCTTTTCTTGCACGGTCGGATCAAATGCCTCTGGCCCTAAAATCGTTCAGAGTGGACCCCAGAACAACTGTGCAAAGTTTGATAGATCGTTGGCTCCAAACAAAACAAGCGTAACTCTGACAGAGCCGGAGAACAAGAGTAACTGGCAGCAGCGCGGAAAACTTAAGTAACTCCCTATCTAAATAGCCGGGCGTTACTCGAGTTCTTCGCACTGGTGCCAGTTACTCTTGTTCTCCGGCACTGGCGGAGTTACGCTTCTTTTTTTTTTTCGGAGCCAACGAGATGAGTCATTTCGTGGAGTATTTTGGTGCGAGGCCACTGGACATTGGGCCAAAAGAGGAATCGTGGTTAGTCAAGTCATCTCCCATGGAGGCTAGGTCGACTACAGAAAGTCAACTAAAAAACGTCGACTAAAAAAAGTCGACTATAAAAGCCGACTACTAAAATTCTACTAAAAAAAGTCGACTAAAATAAGTGGTCGACTAAAAATAATCGTCGACTATTAAATTTAGTCATCAATTTATTTTAATGCACTCAATTTCGTGGCACACTTAATTTAATGCTTGTATGTAAAAAGGTATTGTTTCAGTCACTTTTTTAAGTAATTCTTTTAGTACTATAACAAGCAGGCCCGCCCTTCCGCCAAACG